AACAGAATAACCAATCCCTAACACCCTCATATTTCTAATCCATGTAACTATTTCCGCCAAATTTCGTAGTCACCATAACAAGAGATCACCAAATTCACACAAACCGTAAAAATTTCAATTTCAACATCCTTCATTCTCCCAATCACCCTCCTCATCTCCTTAAACGACCCCAACCATCCATACCCTTGAATAACCACTCTATACTCAAATCCTGATGGCTTAAACCCCAAGTGACCCATTTCATCAAGCACCTTCTCTGCATCCTCAACCATACCCACCAAGCTCAATCATCTGACCATACACTCAAACACCCTTTTTCCAACAAAATTCGTATCTTTAATCCAACCTCAACATTCCAAAACAAATTCTTTCAATCCTACCTGACGCAACAACAATGAGGTCACAAGTAGAGGGCGGCCCTGAGTAGGAGACGATGGTGGAGCGTTGGCCGGCGATTGAGAGGAGAATGGCGAAGGAGCGGGTGACGTTGGAGAGGGTCTGGTCGAAGTAGAGGGCGACGGTGGAGGACCATCATTGGGTGAGAGGAGGAGGAGGAGAAGAAGAAGAAGATAAGGGAAGGGGTATTTTCAAAATGTTTTGGGATGAATTCCTGGGAGAGTGTGAAAAGGGGGCTGAACACATTTTTTGGGTTTTTGGGGTTAAAGAGTAAGGAAAAAACATTGAGAGGCTGGGTCACATCCCCTTTATTTTTTGGGGGCCTAAACATATTTTTCCTAAGTTTTAATATACTAGGTACTCCTGAATAAATAAAATTGTTTTTAAATGAACATGCCAAATTCTGCAGGGATAGATTCTTCAACTTCAACTTTCTTTGTTTGTTTTTATTAGCTGACTTTCTTTTAGTTATCTATTGAGGTCAAATTGGATAATATGTAGTATTCACATATGATTAATAATTCAACGACTTCACACACCAATTCAGATGTGTAGGTGTAAAGTTTATATACAACGTGTTTGGATGGAGGTTAGAGGATGGAAGGGAATGTGAAATTTTATAAAACCTTTCTTTGGTTTTTTTAGGGGTTAAAGGATGGAAGGAAAGGTGAAATTTGATGAGATTTTCCTCCCTCTCAAATTGGAGTAATTCATTCCTACTCATGGAGTAGGCAAGATGCCTGCACCCCTTCAATACGAGGGGAACATGTGATATTAGAGGGGAGAATATGACATCACATTCTCCCCTCTAATGCCACATATGCCCTGCTCCTATTGGGGGGGGGTGTAGACCCTTTAGTGCTCCATAAGCACCTAAGAATTTCTACTCAAATTTAGCGGTAGAGAGAGTAAAAGAAACGAGTGTAAATTTTTACAAGATGGAGAGATAATTTTACCCTTATAATTTATTAGTTGACATAACACCTTAATAAAATGTAATGATATTTATGTAACTTTATATGTATTCACTTCACTTCCCTCCCTTTTGTTAGAACACCCAAATAAGACGAATTAAATTTACTTGTTCCTCTTACTAAACTCTCAAACAATCTTTTATCTTTTCTCTCTCTGGAATTGAGTCCTAGTTCTAGTAAGAATAGACCCTACATGGTGTTAAATGAGTGAGTTTGGATATTAAATGGGCGAGCCATAAATGGGTGGGCATGTTTTGCCCATTTACCCATTTATGACTCATTTAATATTTTCTAAATGGGCGGATTTTTGCCCACACATTTAATAAACGGGTCACTCATTTGCCTATTTAACTATAGTAGCTATATATATAATACTTTTGGGGTGTTTTTGGTAAACTTTTAGGGGGCTTTTTGTAAACTATTAGGGGTTTTTTTGCAAAATTTTGGGGGCTTTTTTGCAAACTTTTTTGGGGGTTTTTTGCAAACATTTTGGGGGCTCTTTGTAAACTTTTTAGGGGCCTTTTGCAGATTTTTTGAGTATTTGTTTGCAATTTTTTTTTTTTGGGGGGGGGGGGGGGGTTTTTAGGAGTTTTTCCCAAATAGAATCCTTCTAGAATTAGAAACTAGAAATAAAATTCTTATTCAACAAATGAGTCAGAAGAATTCTATTGGCAAATATACAGATGATGTAATACATAATATATTAGGCTCTGTGTAACATATATATTTACAGCAAGGAACAAAATGTAGAGTTTAATCCAAACGTCAAGAACTAAAACCAGCAATCACTACTCATGACCTGGTGCTAGGTTTGTGATAAAATACTAATAAATACAACAATATATCACATGAGAACATGATACAAATCACATTGACACAAACTTTGCATTAGCGTTGCTTGATTTAAGTTCATAAACAGCTTCAACTAACTTTTCTTCCAAATACAAAAGATGCTATCATAGTACTAATAAATTACAATACATTTGCAAGTCATATGTCAAAAAAAAAAGTTAAAACAAGTAGGATAATCAGTACTAATAGTATGTCTAAAAAAAGTTAAAACAAATAGTATACTCAAAAGGAACAAAATTCCAGTATAGTGTTTGTTATGCCCAGGACACACGTAACCCAAAAGAATGTTTCACTTGCTCAAATATGAACACTCCCATTCACAAAAAGAGCCACATGCACACATTACGTTACCTCGTCAGTGTTGTGTTCTTCCTTCATTTTCCCCAATTCAACATTGTGTTCCTGATAATATGATGGGTTCTCCGCAGAATTAGCAAGCGGTTATTCATGACAATCACAACCAATATATCTCAAAACTATATCTATAAGTTATAACAACAAACAGATAAACCTGAAACAATGACCAAGTCAATCACCTGTCGAGAAGGTAATTTTTGCCCATGTCCATTTACCCACCTGGCCCGTCCATCACTTGGCCCGCCCAAAACCCACCCACTTAACTAAATGGGTCTAATCGAGCGAGTTCATCTCAAACTACACTAAATGTGTACTAAATGGGTGGTATCTATTCATCCATTTGCCCGCTCGTATTCTCAAAACCAAAACCCAAAGCCAGCAAAACCCTTCGGCCTTCAGCCTTCTCAATACAAAACCCTAATCTCCCTCTCCCGCTCCCTCCTCTCACGCGTCGCAGCGGCCCGCAATTCCCACGGTGACCTCGCCGGAGCCGCCCGTGCCCGCGCCATCGCCGGCAAGCTCCGCCTCCTCAGCGAAGGTCGCGATCTGTACGCCGTCGCCTGGGACTTTGTGTGGAACTACGGTTTTCGAGGAGGGCTGCCGACGGCGGAGGCTTACGAGATCGGTGCTGAGCTTTTGGACGTGGTTGGCGAGGTCTCGCTCATTCGTTAGTGCTGAGAGAAGAGAAAACTTTGTCGCCCCACATCAGGAGCAAAATTCTTTATAAATTTCTTAGCTATTCCTAATTCGATTGATCTCTCATTTGAAATTCCTCAAAAGTTGACTTCGATTGCAGACTTTGCACTTTGATGGGATCGGATTTTGAAGGTCATTTTTTTACAGACCCATGCCCATATATATACGGGTTGGGTTATAATACACCTAGGGTATAACAAACTTAGTTACACCCACCTGTAAAAGCACATGTTTGAGCGTTGATATTAATGATCAATATCGTCCATTATAATCTACATGTCATCAAATGAGTGTGGATCAAATATCATGTATCTTGGTATTTTCTATCCTATAATTCAAGCAACTCAAAATAGCGGGCATTTTTAGATCGTTACAGACCATTCATTTCCTGACCACTAGATGTATAAACTAGAAATATCTAATCTATATAACATTTTTTATCTCCATGAAGTTTTGGATGCATAGATCATAATGAAAGGTGTTGATACTTAATATCGACGCTCAAACATGTGCTTTTAGAGGTGGGTGTAACTAAGTTTGTTACACCCTTCCATGTATAGCTAACATATTATATATTATATACGTATATATTATATATATATTATATATAGTATAGGAAGTACTAGTATAGAATACTATATATATATCATATATTAGGTAAGTACCCTATATACAGGTTATAACTAATATACTATATATTACATAGTATTATATTACATATATATGAGAGAAAATGAGTATGCTTCGGTAATGAGGTGACATATCCCCGCATTCCAACTCATCTCAAAAGTGTGTTCACATAACTCCGGCCTGCACTCGGCTCAAACGCCCCGATGTGAATGTGGTACACAAGAGTTCGAATAAAGAATTTCTTTGGTACCACGAATTGAACTATGGTAATCCGAGCGATGGAGAACAGTGAATCGGTGGCATGGGAAAAGTTCCGTCGGCGAGTATTGCTCGCATGATATACGACCGAAAATGTCGTACATCGAGATTAGCGGATTTGAAAAGTCATCTGGTATCTATGAATCCTCCGAGACATTCCATGCAGTGGTTTGAAGGAGTTGGCATGGGGATATGTGAACGCACTGTTGAATGGGCCTGGAAGGGGATTATGTCACCGAGTGTCAACTACCAAAGCATATAAAAAAAATAATAATATAATCATATTACTATATATAGATAGTAAATACTAGTAGTTCCATCTATATTAATATATAGAACTATATCACCTATATATATTTTAGATTAATATATAATATATATTCCGCGAGGAGATGAGTGGGTGAGGCTTGGTAGCCGCTCTATAAGCGAGCAGAACGGGTTTGTGCTTGGTAGTGAGGTGTCAAATCTCCCTCCACTCATTCAAATGTGGGAATAAATTCACATGGGTAGTGAGTGGATAGGGATGTGACACATCACTACCAAGCACAAAATTTGTGCTTGGTACCAAGCATACCCATATTTCTCATATATATATATATATATATATATCACGTCACCAATTTCGATGTAGATGAGCCCAAGTCAGAGCAGGATTTAACCGTAAGAGTCTGTATAACGTAGGCTTTATGATAAGGAGAACTTAGAGTCGGAGTTTTAACTCGACCAGGAATCGTATTTTGAGTCCTAAGTCTGATAGGCGTAGACCCTGATTGTTCTATATATATGATACCCTGCCACAAATTAATCTATCATGCATATAACATAACAAATTAACACTTGTTTTGTTTCATTATTTTGCCGTCGTGTGACGATGGCTTCTTCTCACGATAGCGCAATGGTGATAACTTTGAGGTCCTTCGATGGTAGAGGGTTCAACGTCGATGGCAGGGTGGCTATGATGTCCAGTAAAGTCCGTTGCTTGATCATGCCGCAAATCTGTGGCCCGATCTTTGTTCCAGATTGCAACGGCGACGCGGTCGAGAAAATTATAGAGTACTGTTATAAGCATGCTGATAACAATGCCGACGAAGCTGATCTTAAATCTTGGGATGCTAATTTCATGCAGGCGTTCGATAAAGACTCTCTCGACGACATCCTTCATGCGGCTAAATATCTCGAAATTAAAGAATTGGTGGATCTAACCGTTCTAACCCGTCAAAATTTGGAGGATTTGCGCGAGGAGGAAACGATTGTAAAGATTGGAGATTTGGAGGATTTGCGCGAGGAGGAAACAATTGCAAAGATTAATGGAGATTCAGAGAACTCGCGCGAGGAAAGGGAACTAAAAGGACTTGGAGGATGTGCGATATTTTGTTTTGCGGTTCTTTCTTTGCTCATGGCAGGGTCTGGTTTTTGTTATGTTTATGTGAAGTATGTTAGCTAGATCGACAATCTCCTGCACGTAGAACAAGATTAGATTAAAAAATAAGAAAAATCCGAGATAAATATTCTATTTTATATTTTTTATTATGATTTTGTACTTCTTTTATTGTCCCTACATCTACATTGGAGTTGGTAAAGGATGGTTGAGACTCTATCTTCGAGGTGTGATGTTGGGGCAAGATTATGCCACATCACTACAAAGTTGCTTTAAACAACTTAGTACTAAGGTTCTCCATTTTTCTCATATATATATATATATATATATTATATTATTACTATAGTATATATATAATAATATATTCACTGAAGACAATATGGGGTAGGCCTTGGTACTAGCGCACAAAATCTTTGTGCTTGGTAATTATGTGTCCATCCCCAATCCCTGCACATACCCATCGTGAATTTGTCCGCCGACATTTGAAATGAAGTGGACGGGGGGAATTTGGACACCCAACGCTTCACATACCAAGCATACAATATTCATTCTCCTCTACTCTCCTCTCTCTGTCTCTCATCTGCCTCTCTCTATATATATATATATATATATAATGACTAATACACTATTATATAAAAGCTAATATTATATATATCATATAAATAATATAGAGATTTAATGGTAACAGCTTGTCAATATAGGAGGGAGGATTTCGTCCTATACTAGCCTCTAAAAATCCCAATGATATTGAGCGAACATTGTTGATGATCCGCTCCGTTGAACTTGCTTTACGATATTCTAAAAACCCAACAACACTACTTTATGATAGTCCCCACCAAGACTTTGCGGGTGAAATCCGTCGTCGGTTTGAGACTCTCCATCGAGCCATGTGAAAAGTTCTAATTCAATTCAACCAGGAGTTAAAAATTCGATACCCGAGGGATTTAAGGGTCAAATCGACGACGGCTTCAAGCCCCAAAACTATGTGTGTATTGGGGTTATAGAAGGTATGTAGATACAAGTTCAACGGAGGCGGATCATCCACAATGTCGGCCTCATCATGTGATTTTACAGAAGGCGCATAGGAGGAAATCCCCTCCTATGACAAGATACCCATTAATCTCTCTCTCTGCTCTCCTCTCTATACTAATATATATATATTATATATAATATATATATATATATATACAACAACACACCACACACACAGAGAAACCAAAAACACCACAGTTTTTTTTCTTTACCCACACACCACAGCACATCACAACATTAGTATGAATTATATAACTATCATATATATCTATATAGAGTATAATTTTATTTGGATTATATATATTATTATTCCTATATTTATAATACTATATTAAATACTATATAATATATATTATATAAGAATAATGGGCCTATCAGTATTGTCAATAAAAGGAGAATTTCCTCCTTGACCGCCTTTAAAATGACATGATTGAGTGGACATTCGGGAGGATCGCGTGACTCGGTTAAAAGCTTGCAATCCTAATATTCTAAAAACACCAACACACTAAGTTTGGGGTGAATCCGTCGTCGTTTGATTCCACTATATCATCCATCCGATACTAGTTATCAAAATTTTTAAACCGTGTTTTGAAAAACTGAATAGAACTGTTTTCAATGCTCGATGCGAGGGCTCAAAGACGGACGGATTCAACCCCAAACTTGGCAGTGTATGGGGTTTTAGATTAATAGTAGATCAAGTTCATATATCGGAGCGGATCATGCCCATAATGTCTTTCTTTCATATCATCACTTGTACTTTAGTAGGCGATCAAGGAGGAAATCCCCCTCCATGACAGGATACCATTAATCTCATATATATATTATATATATATATATATATAATATATTATATATATATATAATACTGATAGTATATAGTATTAATATAAGTATATATAATATAATACTATATATATATATTAAAATATGTAGGCCACACTGACATCTAAGTGACACACATGTATATCAGATTCAGGGACTTCGGATAACTCATGAGGTGAGATCAGATGATTCAGGTCATGGGTTGTAGGTATTGATGATGAGTTGGGTGACTTGGGTCAATGGTGAAACTTAAATCAGATCGCTGTTGAAGGTCGGGAAGATTTTACATGAGATGGTCACATTCAGCTCACGAGCATCACGAAGATTTGATTCTGATACCATCTTTTTGTGTGTTATCTACTCTTCTATACTTATTGGAGGATCTAAAGAATCACTATTCATGCTACAATAACTTTATTTGGGAACATGGATACGAAAAAGGGGTCAATTCTTGAAGACACGATCATAATAGCATTTATTGGATTTCATGAACTCTAAATATAAAGATAACATATTTTATTATAAAAATTCTTATTAAAGGCCTCTAAACATAAAATTCGTCTTATATTTGTCTCAAACTTACGAAGGAGATATGCATGTCATCGTAAATCGCGTCAAATATATCTATCAACCCAAAGATACAACTAACTAAAGATATAAGAGAATAGTAAGTAAACCTAGCAAACATCCATGTAACACAATAAATAAAAAAATTTATATTTTAAAGTTAATATGTAGAGTTCATTCAGAATAATTTACCAAGACAAAAGCATTCCCATCAAGGCTCTTTACAAATATAATAGAAATTTAACTTAGTGATATCATGCAAACATCACAACATTTAAAAGAGGTATGATCTTAATAAATCTACTCTATAATTCACATAATTAAACCTAATTACAATTTACCAATATACAGATATGTTATTTCACCTTTAAGGCAAAGATAACACGATTTATAGTGAATTGAGTTGTGGTTTTACGCTTGCAATGGCTACAAAAAGAAGATGGATATAGATGATAACAAAGAGTATTCAAATGATAAATGTCGCAGAATCATTGATGATTTAGGATCAATGTTAAGTAGTATCCATTCTTCATAGAATAAACATATCAACATCAAATTCTAACATATATCTAAGGCAAATAAACAATAAAAATACAGGTATTTAGTTAAGATCATCATGAAAAATGACACAGATATTGCAAAGGTAACATTGTTTAACACAGTAGAAACTCTTATCGGATGCACAACGCAAAAATTTATTTTAGAGAAAAAAGATCAATCCTAACTTAACTTACGTAATAAATTAGGAACACAAGAAAATTGTCATATATATGAAATTAACATTAGTTCTCATTGAAATAGAAAAATAATCAAAGTCTATATTTCCATAAGGATGTGTTGAACAATGGAAAGACATTCAAGTTTGTTTGGTTCAAAAGTCGCTGCTGTGGAATTCATTATAACTTTGTTCGATTACAACAAATTCGAAAGAATAATCTTTTTATAAGACTTTTTCTACACAACAAATCAAAGATTACAACTCTTGAGAAACAAACACGAAAATCGTCTATCAATTCTCGTTTTCGTGGGACTTTGCCTGTGCCGGGAACGCTTTGGTTCGTGGACCGCCGATTCACAGATCGTGAAGAGGGGGCTTATGATTCTAACTTCGTTATCGAAGTAGAAATTGAAACGATATCTTATCGAAGTAAGATAGTCGTTCTTCTTAAAATCAAGTCGAAGCTTAATTTCAAGGCGTTGCAAGAAAAGAACTCAAATCTCTGCTCTCTCTGCTCTGGAATGCTCTAACAAATGCTCGATCCTCGTCAGAAGTGACCCTAGGGGGGTATTTATAGCCTCAAGGGTCAGTAACTGCAAAAACTTAACAATCGAAGAAGTCAGTACGGCGAGACAGTGTTTACTGTCTCGCTGGGCGAGACAGCGTTTGCTGTCTCGACCCGCGAGACAGTAAATTTGCTGTCTCGCTCAGCGAGACAGTAAATGCTGTCTCGGAAAATGGCAGTTTCTCGCTGTAACTGTTCTCTCACGTTTCAAACTCCGTTATTTTGGCAGTTATCCACGTGATTTTCGCCCATGATGTTTCCCACGTCCCTTGGCAGTTAATGGACACGTGTAGGGCAGTTACAAATGTAGTTTTGACTATTTCAACACTGTCTCGCTGGCGAGACAGCAAAGACTGTCTCGCTGGCGAGACAGTTCATACTTGTTTTGATTTTTCCAAAACAGTATGAAATCCTTTCTTGTGAATTTTTGAGTGATCTTCTCTATGCTTGGGATATCTATTAGCATTTTTTGACGCCTACAGATACCCCCTCCAAAGTATTCCAGACTCATTCTTTTATAGAGGAGCATGGGATACTTTGGATAAGATAGATTTTACTTACGATCCCTTCAATGCTTGGCTGAATAGATCGTATGAAAGGACTTGTAAATGGCTTCAATGTTTAACCTCTTCTGCTGTTAGTCTATCCAGTTCTTCGTAGAATAGCTAACGTTCTCCCGGCGTCGCGTTTATCGCTTGACCGTTGTCGAGATCTTGAATTGAAGTTGATACTTGCTCTTGTGAATTCAGCGTTTACCATTGAATTGGTATATCCATTGAGAATTCCTCAGGTTATCCTTAAGAATATTCAGATTAATATTCTCCAGAAACTTCCTGTTGAGGGTGGGAATACAGTTTAGACTCGTGTACCCATTGGAGTATTCCACTGTTCCATAGTGCAAAACAGAAAAGTTTACTGTCTCGCTCGGCGAGACAGAGTTGTCTGTCTCGCTCAGCGAGACAGAGTTTCCTGTCTCGCCCGGCTGCTATATAAGTCGGGACTTAGGGTTTTTAGGGTTTTTCACGTCGATTTTTTGCGATTTTCAGGCGATTCTTGGGCGATTTTCGAGCGATTTTCGACCAGTTCTTCACCTCTTCTTCTTCTCTTCGTTTCTGACTTTGGTGGTGCTTCGATTTGAAGAGATTTCATTTGGATTTGAAAGGTCTGTTTCCCCTCTTTTCTTCAAAATCTTGACTTTTGGCAACCTGTGACTGTGCATGCAGCATTTCAGTTGTATTTGTCCTATTTTTTTGTCGATTTCATGTTCAAAATCTTAACCTTTCTCTTGGATTTCAATGTAGATCATATACTCATCATGTCGCCACGTAGAGCTCGAGGGAAGGGAATCCGGCCGACTGTTCAGAGCCCTGAGGAGGCTGCCCCTGCTGCACCCTCACGTGGAGGTACATTTCTTTCGCCTTTTC